ATGGAGGTCTTGAGCCAAGTCTCATTATAGTCCTCGGGAAGGTCGAAGGTGACTAATAGGTGGTTGAAATTATACCACTTAAATGAGAATCTACCCTTAAACCCCAACTGACCTAATCCAGCAGATATAACTCGGGGGGAGGGATGTCATAAGAGATTCTGATGGTGTTAGGTTAGTTATATGATTGTGCTAGGTTAATTGTCTGATGGTGCTAGGTTAGTAGTTGCAAGGTTAGTTTTCTGATGGTACTAGGTTAGTTGTCTGATTGTGCTAGGTTAGTTGTCTGATTATGCTAGGTTAGTTGTCTGATGGTGCTATGTTAGTATTTGCTAGGTTAGTTGTCTGATTCTACTAATTTAGTTGGCTGATTGTGCTAGGTTAGTTGTTCGTAGTTGCAACTATATGATGAAAATTTGCAATGTCACATAGCAAAACTTTGAAAGGCCATAACTTAACGTAGAAAGCTCCGTTTTAGACGAATTTTTTTTTATTTGGGGTAGCTCCACGAGATCTACGCAGCTGCGAATTGCCGAAGGCGGTTTGGCCGCCCAAATTTTCAAAAAAACGCCTTTTCTTGCTTTAATTTCATTTTTAAGAAAAAAATACGTTTTTTGGATTTTTAAACCTCTATATCTCCCCAATCGTGACTCATATTTCGAAGTTTTTTTTTTCATAACAATGCTCTCAACCTCTATTTTATGTACCAATTGAAAAAATTAGAAAATGCATAGTCTCTGCAGTGGCTAGGTTAGTTGTCTGATACTGCTAGGTTAGTTGTCTAATTGTGCTAGGTTAGTTGTTTGATTGTGCTAAGTTAGTGTCCGCATTTTAAGAGCTGGCCTCATTTGATCTGGCCCCTATATATATATATATTCCAAACATTAATAGAGAAAACATCGTTCCCTTTTAATTGCAAAATAAACCATTTTATTTGCCACAATTATATTAAATATATTAATTATATTAATTGATACAATTTGAGTTACTGTAAGCTACCAAAAAAATACATGTGGATAAAAGTAGAGGGAGATGTTACATCCTGTTACAGAATCTTTCCGTTGGACATTGTAACAGTTAAATTATCATATAATCG